AAAATTTCCAGATTTTCTTGAGATTATTTGAACTTACCGCAAAAGAAATAGTCAAGTTCATTGAAATAACAACTCTCTGACAAGGGGAAAACCGCTGAAATCTGATTTTTCTTATTTTCTTGATATAAAATCAATTGATTCAAAATTTGAAAAAATAAAAAAAATAAAAAAAAATACCAAAAACTTAAGTTTTCAAAATTCAAAAATTTTAGAAGCTTTAAAATCAGAAAAAATGCTGAAAAGACTAGAAAAATCAAACCTTGAAAAAATTACAGAAATAAAAAAAAATCTATTTCAGCCTAAATTCATATTTCGGACAACAAATTAAAAACTTTTTCACTTAGTTAGATCGAGTCATTGATTTTTTTATTTTTTTATTTTCTCTGACTTTTTTTTTAAACGTCTGTCCGAAAATCGCATTAGTAGCCCTCCCTTAATAGAAGTCCCCTTAAAAAATTTTGAGCGGTTGACAAATTAGAAGCCCCCGGGGCTTTTATTATGGGGGGGGTTAGTAATAGCTGTAGGAAATATCAGACTTTCGAAATTGAGAATGCTTCCTATTCCGTGATGTTGAACAATGCGGAATCAGTTCCGCCTCCGGAACCAATTCCGTCCAATTACGGCAGCTCGATCATGATTAGATAGAACAGACCCAATCGATATCGATCGAGTTTCGTCAATTTCTGGAATTCCGAAAATTCTGTTGAAACGAAATTCCTTATAATTCCAAGATTTCAACTAATTTCCTCTCGGCTGAATTCCCGGAATTTCACACCGAAATTACTTCCCGCCCTCACCCTCACGGACGGTGGTATAGTTGAAGATTAATCCCTAGCACTACCAAGTAATTTCAGTGCGGAATTCCAAGAATTAAGTCGAGATGGAATTACTCGAAACTTCTTCCAATCCCGGAATTACTCGAAATTGCTAGGGATTCCGACTAATTCCGTCTCGACTCAATTCCCGGAATTCCAGAAACGTCTTCCAATTCCGTATAATTCCGGAATTGGAAGGAATATCTGGGGATTATGAGTAGCTCCGTCTGAACTCAGTTTCCTGTATTTCGGGGATTGGTGGAACTCGATCCATGTCGAGTAGATCTCTTATGCCGAATGATGATCAAGTTTCCGGAATTGGATGGAACTAATTCCGCAATGTTCAACATTGTGGAATAGGATGACTGCTCTCAAAATTGTCCTTGGACAACGCCCTATATTGAAAGGTAGTCGAAAGACAAGGGTATTCTATTTCTACTTCTTCTTCTTCTTACTTTTTAATAAACTAGTAAAATATAATGTATTCATTTTGCTTTGTCACAGACCAGTTAATGTACATATTTCGATAATATCGATCATTCTACTTTCTATGTAATTTCTAGACCATATTTGATAGTTTTCTATCAGCATCCAATCAAAATGCGTAAAATTAGCTTCCTTACTCTCTTGACTGGATTGTTAATGATTTTAATCTTCTATTCGATCTTTTTACGTGATCTGACGGTTATTATATGGCCAATGCCACGAGATTTGACCTGTCATCTTCATAATTGCCATAAACGTGGCACTTGTTTGATTGGTAAATGCTTTTGCCGACCAGGCTATGATGGTATGGATTGTGAAACTGCATGGAATCAGTCAATAATCGACATTTGTGCAACGAGTAATGACGACAAGTGTTTCATCCATCCACTCTACGGCATTGGTGAAGTATCAGTTGAAAGATGGAAGAAAGCCGTCAATCAAGAAGGTAACTTTTGGGTAATTCACGTACAACATGAAGACCGTTGGAACGATCATTTGGCAGGCTTTAATAATTACAAAATGTTACCAAACGACTTGGGTAGCATGGTTGAACTCGGCTGCGGCCCGTTTACTCAAACATTGTCGATTCTTCGTGTTAAGGGGAAGCACGTGAATATACGCAAGCTTACTCTGTGGGATCCGAATGCAAAACACTATATGAACCAAGTGAAACATTGCTCATATAAAAACGGTACTTTAGTAGGTTTTGACTACATTCCAACGATCATTGTGTCATTGCCATCCGAGGAGATGCACTCGTACATCAATGAATTTGATACCATCCTCATGATTAATGTACTCGAACATGTGCAAAACGCCTATCAGATCTTACAGAATATTTATAATTCCTTACGGCCTAATGGTATCTTGATTTTTGGTGAGCGATGGTGGGATCAGTTATACACGAGTGAAAATTATAAAACCGATACATTGCATCCAATTCGTATCAAGTATTATGCATGGAAATGGTTTACGGATCACTTTGAGAAACTCTATGATGCTAGAAATCATAATTCGTACTTGAAATACGGCCATAATGGTAGCTATTTTATTGGTAGAAAAAAGAATTTGCATTAATAAAACTGTACTCTGTTATTATTGCGATTGAAAAAGCACATACATCTTCCCTTAGTATTCTTAATTAGTACAAGCTTTCTTTTCGATTTGTGCCGTTTAATTACACGTTAGGCAAGTTCTCATTTTCAGATTAACATAGGGGTGCAACAAATCTTGAAAAGATTTAGGATTTGTGACCAAATCCTTGAGATCTGGATTTTACTTTGGATTTGGCTTTGGTTTGTGTACAAGACTTGAATTTGGTTATCGGATTTGTGTACTTTAAGATTTTCCCTAGACTGAAAGGATAGGGTCTAGAAACCGTAATTCACCTGTGTCTGTCTGTCCGTCTGTCTGTCTGTCTGTCTGTCTGTCTGTCTGTCTGTCTGTCTGTCTGTCTGTCTGTCTCTCTCTCTCTCTCTCTCGCNATCTATTTTAAAATATCACCAGCAGCTGCTGGCACAAACAACCGATTTTATGTCCTGTCCATGCATTTCTTCTCCTCAGCACTGTCAGTCTAGGGCTCAGTGAATCGACTTTCGATGTCGATGAACGTTACTTGTGGATTTGGCTTCAGCATTTGTAGAAATAATAGAGCTAGTTTGAGATTTAATAGCTCATATACATATCGTTATTCGTATATCGCATTGACTGCAATGAGGTCATTATTGGCTGGTCTTTACGCAACAAGGAGGAGGATTCCAAGAGTATTATATGGGGTACCTCTAGTCTGCCACGAACTATTATGTTGGGGCACCCATGGGCTCTCAATGGCTATCCTATGGAAGATACCCCTAGGTCTTGAAGAGCTATTATATTAGATATGTACGAAACCCGAACCCAACTTCAAGTTTCGATATCGAGTTCTTCAAGATTGAGTTCGATGTGAACTCGAGCAATGGTACTCGGGTTCAATCGAGTTCGAACCCTCCTATGTTTGAGTTCGATCGAGTTCGAACCCTTCTATGTTTGGGTTCGATGGGGTTCGAACTTTCCATGTTCGGGTTCGATCGAGTTCGAAGTTTTCATTCCCGTGTTCGATCGGGTTCAAACCCTTTTATGTTTAGGTTCGATCGAATTCGAACTTTTCATGAAGTAGTTCAGTTCAAGTTGAAGCTTGGCTTTTAGATACTGTTAAGCTCCGGTTTCACTATAAACCAATATAACGTTTTAACAAAATGCCCTTAGAGTTCGAATCAACAAAGATGTTGACCTATCTTTATTTTCTATTAAGAAACAAGTATCCTTACATAAGTAATATACGTCTCTATATATGAAAAGGAAAGAAACCAACAAGAGGAGAAAAAGGCGATGCAACAAGATATTTCCTTAAAGATGTCGTTCCTAACACCCTTCCCCGTACAAATAAAAAGTTTTTTTTGTTACAAAAACACTTTTTTTAATAAATAGAAGGAAATATATGATGAAAGAAATAGTAACACAAAAAACAAAACAATATCTGGCAATGAACCGGTAATGAGAAAAAAACCAAATAGATATCAATATGAGAAGAAAAGAGGAGAAAAACAAACAAACAAATAGCTTGAGCACTTGAAAAAAAAAAGAAACAAAACCTAATGTAAGTACACCAGTAGTGAAAGTACAGGTGTAGAATACTAGAAAAAAAACACAGAATAACAAAACAAAATTTTTTTTTTGTTTTGTTTTCATTAATGTTGTTGTTGCCGTTTACGATGATGACGATGATGTCGATAAGTTTGATAATTTTGACGATCAAACATGTTTTCAGATATTTTTTGTTGATAATTTTGTTTGATCTTTTCGTTCTTGACACCAATACGTAGTAAACCATTAACCACTTTTACATTGATATATTGAACATCATTTTGTTTCAACATTTGTTTAACTAATGGCATATCAAATTTTTAATACAGAGACCGGGTAATGCAATGTCGATAGCAATACATTCGACGTGTGTTGTTTCGTTTTCGATTTTTTTTTGTCTTGACTCTATCGATCGACGTTGATGACTTAATATATGGTGTTGTTCAATATTTTCATCTGGTTCAGTTTGTTCATTATTATCAATTATAATTTCATTGGCTTCATTAACAATCAAATCAACATTATTAACTGGTACTGTAATATTTAATTCTTGTTCATCATTTGAAATTTCTTCATAAATATGTTTTTGATTTGTTACTGGTGCTATAAGTTGATTAAGATAAATTTCATCATCATCCGATATTAATTCTAAGTCATCATCAAGTATCTTAAATAATTTTTGTGGATTAATATTTTTTTTAATTGATTTGTTTTTTGATGATTTATTTGTTGGAAGTGATGGTAATGGTGATGATTTGAATGATGTAAATAAGTCAATAATATTTGTATTTTTCAATTTTTGAAATGTCCAATATTCTGAGATTGGTCTAATGAGATAAGTTGTTGAAAGAACATCGTAAATTGCATATTTAATCATTTTTTTTCTTCGAAATGAGGATAATGTTGAATTGTTTGTTGTTAATCCACCAGCCCAATTATTAACTGTACTTGATTTATCAATGAAAATGTGTGCAGCATAAATTAACGCGTTCTGTAGAGACCATAATTCATTAGGACGATACGGACTTTGTCGAGGACAATAAAATATCGACGATAAATAATTTTGTGACATAATATTAACATTATTAGCATCATCGAGATGATGCTTCGGGCAACATGACTCGCTATGAGTCAGTGCCCACTCGTACCAACCAGGAAAATGTGGTTGAATATCAAGCAATGATGCTAATGTTGGCCATTTAAATAATGCAGAATTTTTAATTGGATCGAGTTCTTTGATCATATCACCCCAAGAATACAGTTCATTATTTGATCTAAAAATTAATTCAAAAAATTCTTTAATTTTTACGCACACATGTGAATCATTTGATGGTAAATGTGCCAATTCAATTAATATCACTAATGATGGTAATCGAGATGGAATAGTTTGTAGTTGTATTAATGCCAATTGACCATTTGACTTTTCCGACTCCGTATCAATAGTAAATTGAGTACATTCTTGTACATGATTGATCAACATGTGCATTTCTTCTATTGACGTATATTTGTTCACATGGACTACGTTGTAATATGAAGTTGGTATTTCAAATGATGGATAATCTTGTCGATATTGATCATTTTCTTCTTGTTTATTTGGAGTAGTATAATATGGTTTAGAAGTTGGTGGAGGATGATCAAGAGTCTTTATTGCATGTGGTTTCACACCAGTTGCAACTGTAGGTTTACTAGTATCGAATAATTTTGCATGTTGATTGAGGATAATTTTAATTTTTTTTTGTTGTTCATAATCACCAATATGTTGAGATAAACTAATAATGTTCTTGTTCACTAACTGTTGATCAATAGTTTCATTTCTTTTAAAAGATAATGTTGGAATAGTAGTTGTTCCCAATATAATACCTTTTGGTAATGAATAAGAGTAATTTGTGGGGTTATGTACTAAAATAGATGACGTATGACGTTGAACGGTTAATGAAGAATTTAACATTAATATAGATGATCGTTGTTGTAATTTATAAGATGGACGAAATAATACCTTTGCTGAAGATAATCCTACAGATACAGGAACTGAAACTGTTCGTTTTGGTGGAATTCGAATATTATTAATTAAACGTGTCGGATAATTAATATTTCCTTTACTGACATCAAATGTTAATGTTGTACGGTGATGATTATTGCATATTGATACCATCTGTTCTTCCGTGTTAATGATTAATTTGTATTTATTATTAAAATCCATACCTAATATACAATCAGCACATAATTCTTTAACAACAAATGCTTCAATAGAAGTTAACATATCACCCATAAAAATAGATAATTCCCATGTACCAAGAATAGAAAGAGAAGTATAACCATCAGCTAAAATTACACGTTTATATGATTTATTAACAAATTGCTTACTATTTAAAGGATGTAATGCAGTAATTGAAATAAAGGTTCGATTTGCACCTGTATCAAGCATTACCTTCATTTTTTTTTATTTACACAAACATTGAGATATAAAAGAGATGAATTAGATATCGATGGATTATCATATAAGGTATTGGAAGCAACACCACCGACCATTACTTCCTTAACCCGAAATGGGTACGGGTACAATCCCGAGCATAATGTCCAGGAGTACCACAATTATAACAATTGTTTGATCGCTGTGCATATTGTGGATATCTTGCAGGATCATGATTCCGAATTTTTCTTTGATTCCAATTTTGTGTATTATGTTGATGATTTTGATGATGTGGTTGTGGCTGTGAATATTGATGAGTATCATGACGAATTTGATTAATTGATTTCTGTGAAATATTTGGTTGTGCTGATGGGTATTGAAATGTAGCAGCATTGATATTAATATTATTTGGTTGCACTTCATTATTTGTACTGGTTAATGTTAATGTATCTTCAACTTTTCGAGCGATCGATAAAAAAGTATCTGTTGTTTTTGGATCCTGTAGAGCAACATATAGTTTTAATGATTCTTTTATACCAGCCATTAAATATTTTAATTTTAATGAATCAGGCATAATAGGATCAACTTTCTTACATAATTCTATAATTTTATCATAATATTGTGTAATAGATTGACTAATTGTTTGTTTGTACCATTTTAATTGTTCAAATGCTAATTCTTGTACTTTTGTTGATCCAAAAGCTTTTTTAACAACTTCGGTAAATGCTGACCATGTTTTAATCGTCGTAGATGTTTGTGTCCACCATCGATATGCATCTTCTTGTAAATGAATTGAAATGTACTGTAATTTTTGTTCATCATTCCATTTTGCCATTTGAAAACGTTGCTCCAATTTTTCTAACCATTCATGAACATCATCTTTTGAACCACGGGAAAATGTTGGTTTTTTAATAATTTCATCAGCAATGGTGTGTTGTAAATGTGATGTAGATGAGAAGCTAGAAATATCAGTTGATGGTGTATCCATCTCAGCAGGAATAATATTCTGTTCTAATGATGATGTAGATAAATATTGTTGAAGAAATAATTTACTAAAAGATTCAAAATTGCCGATCAAAGCAATATGTCTGATATACCAGAAGTAAGCTTCATCAATTAATAAAAATGGTATGGATTGAAATTGTTCCATACGACGTAATCCACACTGTCTAAATTGATTCATTGTCTGTAACAACCAAACTTTGGCATCACCTACACCAGAATATTTATTAAATTTCATATCAATAAGATTTTCTAGTGAGGTTATTTTATTAATGTTTGATGACGAATTATCCATTGATGAAAATTTGCCGTGTTCTTTCTGACGCTCCTGAATATGTTGTTTCAATCGATCACAAAAAGCATGGCCAATCATTATTAATTTCAGCATTCATCTGTTTATACCATAATTGTTGTTCATCATCAAAATATGTAGTTGCTTGAAATACACGATGTGATAATGGATATTCCAAATTTTCATATGTGTTATACAAAATAGATAACCATTGATCTATATGAGTCATTTCTTCTTCGGTTAATTTATTAATAGATTGTAAAGCTTTTTTTTCTTGTTCTCGCAACGATTGTAATGTCGATTTACTATGCAATAAAGACATACTATCACCATGTTTTTCTTCAACTAATTCTGATATTGATTGGGATGTTGACATACTTATTAATGAATTCTATTGAGACAATAATTGAGGTCTTGACTGTTCAAAAACAGAAGGAGAATTACTTCGAATTTGGGAAGAAGAACTATATAATAAATCAGAAATATGATTTGCTTTTAAATTAAAATGTGAACGAGTGCTATTATTCATCAAGGACACATTCCAATAAAGAGGATAATTCTCCTAATTAATTAACATTCATTAACAGACACAACCCTTAAAAAAGGATGTTTCTAAAATTATTTCACGTAAATGTAAATTCACTGGACCAATTTCTTAATAAAAAGACACCGCTGTCACCATGTTATGATTCGTTGATCGTATGAATCATTTGAGATAATGCAGCGAGTTGGAAAGACCATAGAACGAAGAAAAAGACAACTCTTCACGGGACTCGAACCACGTACCTTCTGCTATCCGGGCAGATGTCCTCAACCAGTTAGACTAGAAGAGACACTTTATCTTCGTCTTATGATCGGATAGCAATCAGATCATAACACCCTTCCCTTTGCACGAATGTCAATTCCGATGTTGACAACATCGAGAAAAGAGAATACATCATTTTGTTTTTTATTTTTGTGCACCAGAGAGGGCGCTGCATGCTGCATCTCACCGCTGTCACCACTTGTTAAGCTCCGGTTTCACTATAAACCAATATAACGTTTTAACAAAATGTCCTTAGAGTTCGAATCAACAAAGATGTTGACCTATCTTTATTTTCTATTAAGAAACAAGTATCCTTACATAAGTAATACACGTCTCTATATATGAAAAGGAAAGAAAACAACAAGAGGAGAAAAAGGCGACGCAACAAGATATTTTCTTAAAGATGTCGTTCCTAACAGATACCTTCTTAAATATGTGATCCACAGTGAACGTAAGCAGACGTTTAGATCATTGGATAGTATTAAATTGATTAGTACTTTGGCTTTGTTGTAACTCTATCTATTCAAATAATACTAAATGACTACTCCTACTCTAGTCAGAAATATAACTCAAATAATATATTTTACTGAAAGATAAAAGCCAATAATCAAGTTTACAGCTTGCCTTTTCGTCTCACACCAACCTTTCAAACAGAGTCGTTGATTTTGATACCAGAAGCTTTTAATACTTTGAAAGAATCATTCAAAACTGACTACAGCCGTCTAGTGACTTTTGATCTCTTATTTTCAGTAGTTTACGGTATGATAAAATAACTTCTACACCATTAAAGATGAAATACTCTTGAATTAAAAGATTCGAAAATGAAGAGCTTTTGCTCATTGAAATAAGGACCTAACTTCTTTGCATACAATTTCACATCAAAATGTTTATTCCTAAGCATTTATGACCATCAAGTTTTGGATGATTAAGAGCCTTCCTTTCAGTTTGAGGCATCTTTTCAAGGCCAAGTCAAAGTTCAGACAATAAATATCATTTTTACTGCAAATAATTGTGTGTTTACTAAATACCCTCATGACTATTGTGTAACGCCCACATTCAATCATTACCGTGCGCCTATGTGCGTTGTCCTTAGCGCGTGTCTTTGTTCATCTTGTGTCTTTGATATGTTATTATTCATTTTTATGTTATTATATTATTGCGTTTTGTATCTATTTAAGATTAGGAGTGCATCATTTATAGTGCACATTGGCTTATACTGAATACCTGTCCGAGTATATATAGATCTGTTGAATGTGTAGTTGTTGGCGCAAGTGTGTGATATCAAATGGAAATAAAGGAAGAGTCTCTCCCTGGAGTGGCTCCCGTAACAAAAGAATTGTTACATATTGCATGGTTATAAGAGTTGACGATCATATTATTTCGACAATTTCATATCTCATGAAGAGTAACTGTTGAAAAATACATTGAGAGTTAAGGTTGAAAGTACAGGGGTCCTCAATTTCAGCATAGGGCTTTGGTTCAGATTCACTTCAACCATGCAAAAAATGATAATTTAAACGCTGAAATAAAATGTTTGTAAAGGAGGGGGGCGTTAACTGAAGAAATCGGCCTATTCGAGAAATCTCATTTCTTCTATGCCAAACTGTCACAAAAGGTGTCCAAAATTGATCGCTGGAAGAATTAGTCCTATTGCACTTGTTGGTGTTGCACACAGGCCGTTTGAAATAGTCAATGGCTGTCACATACATAAAATCCGACTGTTGATGATCATCAGATTTTTTTCTCTACCAATCCGATGAGTGGCCAGGTTAGTTTCATATGGTTTGATAGAGCTTTGCAAGCGCTACAAAATGGTATATAAACATCCAAGAAAAAACAATGGCCGGTATGACTACCGATGGACAATATTTTTAGACAGTTAGGATTCGATCTGTTCTTTTCAAGATGAGGGGGTGGCCACTGGAAATATATTAAAGGACGTACTGATTCGAAATTCAGAAGATACGTAGTCATTACATATCAGTAAGGACATGAAGTGTCGTTCTGATAGTAAGAAAATCAAAGGAAAATAATGGATGTTTTTCTTGAAATATATTCGTCGGGGCTGGAGTGACACGTGTTGAAAAAAAATATCTTGCTTGTAAGTAGAAGACGCATTCATTTTATCGTTTTCTTACTGTTGGTAAGTTAGTGACGGACAGTTATTCATCGAAATATTCGAAGATAATAGAATGCCACACGATTATTGCCTATGTGGGTTGTTGTTAAGTCGCACTTCTAGCGCTCGAACACTGAAGTCACCTGACTTACGGTTATTCATATCGATGCGAACAATGAACTCGGTGTCTTGTGAGACCAAAGTTTGCAATGCATGTCGCACTGCTTATTATAATTGGAAAAGTAACAATGCTGAGTTTGGTGATATTTTGTCTCGTATTGATAATGAATTGTTGAAAAGTGTCGATATCGATGAAGATACAAATTCGGTAAATAATAATCATTGTTGTGGTAGTAAAATACGATATATATTATTTGTTTGTTCACTAGAATGATCCAATGGGCGTAAACCAACATAGTGTCTCTATTCAAACAGATTCAGTAGATATGGATTCGAATCCAGTCGTTGTGGAAGAAACCATTTCGTTACAAATGAATAGTACTCGATCTTGTCATACGCAAAAGATATAAGTATATAATATGTACGATTCTAACTGACTTATTTTATGTATAGGGTGTGTTGTGTCTGTCGGGAAAACATTTAGGGATGCAACGGTGACGTCAAAAACCGTTTCACCGCTTGAGACCGGTGAAACGGTGAGGCGGTGCACCGGTCCTACGGTGCACCGATGTTACCGGGACCCGGTACATCGGTGAAACGGTGGATCGGGGCCCGGTTCACCGTTTCACCGATCTCAAGCGGTGAGACGGTGAACGATTAATCGTCACCGTTGCATCCCTAAAAACATTGGTGGAGGAGCAATGACTGTTTCTTCAGAAGATCGTTATTTGTTGTTACTGAAGAAAAATATTTTCATACCAGAAGGTGCAAGATTTTTTCCTGATCATGTGACAAATCGTCGTTTCAAATCAGAAGCAATAGATAAAATTGCACCATACTCGACACAAATGAAAAAAGTAAATGCTGTAGATGTCCAGCTTTTATTAAGCAATTGTCAGATGCTATATGAAGACAAAAAGCGGTTCGATTTCGATAATTCTCAATCAATGTCTGACGATGAATATCGAACTTTGACAAGTCTTTCCAAAAGTCAATTCGATGATCTTATTGGACGATTATCACAATCAAATATTCTTAATTCGAGTAATAGACCGATTCGTACTGCCATTGCCATCTTGTTATGCAAGCTTCGTCTTGGTTTGTCGAACCAAATGCTCGATCATTTAATAATAACTTTTTCTTGCACTAGAAATCACGAAACAATGAATTTCAAAGAAAAACATTCAACCTTCACAAAAAACGTTCATTGTTAAAACCAATGATGATAGTGTCCACCACTCAGAGCTGGGCAACTCAATTCAAAAAATGCCCAACTCAACTCAACTCAACTCAATTTCTGAGTTGAAATGAATCGAATTGGACATATGCTTTTAGAGTTGATGAATTGTGTTGAATTGAATTGAGAGAATGTTTTCTGAATTGGTGAATTGAATTGAATTGAGTTGGAAAAGAAAGTTATAACCAAAGAATTGAAATGAATTGAATTGGAAAAATTTTAGCGAATTCGTTAAATTGAATTGAATTGAGTTGAAAATTTTTCTTCAAGATTGATGAGTTCAATTCAATTCAACTCAAAAAAACCTCGCAAAATTTTTCTGTATGATTGATTAATATAATTAAATTGGAAATGGTCAGTGCATGATTATGATTTAGTTTTTAGTTGTTATCCAAGTATTTTGTTTTGATGAGGCTGATTTACTACACGTTTCAATATATATTTATTTGTTTATATTTATTTATATTTCTGTGGAAATTCCTTAAGTTTACCGTTATTTTCTTCTTTTATCTGTTC